GGTCCGGGACTCAGTCAGAGTTCGCTCCGGGGATGAGACCCAGCCGCTGGCAGAATGAGCATGATTTGGCATTGATCCATCCGGGTGAGCATATGCACACATGTCTTCCGGATTTGTATTCAGTAGCACTGTTCCTTCGAGGATGATTGGCGACGTTGGATACGGCTTCCAGAGAGTCCAGCAGAATTCGGAACAGAATACATCGGCGGAGAAAAAAAAAGGGCATACTACTGACTGAGTCTCTATCTCAGTCGGGTCTTGGGCGTAGAACTCGGTTTTTCTATATCTTTCACCAAGTTTCTCCGAAGATGTCATATCAAGTTGACATCTTCGGACGAGAAAATTATCATATTTGAGGTTCGTAGACTGCTATATCTACTCCTAGTGGAAATCGTTTCCACCAAAAAATGATGAGATAATTTCGTATGAATAAGAGACGCTCTTCCGAGCCATCGCAAAGATCCTTGAATTTTCTCCCTTTACTATTAAAATCATGATCTCGCATGCAATCATAGTTTTACCCATCCAAGAATGGGAATACTTCGCTCAAATGTTTCTACGGAAGCGAATGGTGTCCGGAACTGTCGGAGCTGAACATTTCTTGCCATCATGATATTTGTGCTGGAATGCGTAGTTCTCGAGTATTTCGAATCCAATCCTATATTATTACCTGTGACCTTTTCTAACCTGAAGGAAGGATTTTCGAGTTCGGGATGACCTTCTGACGATGCCTCACGAGCAGTCCCACATATTTGACCATGATAATTTTCCTCACGAAAAGCTTCAAGTTTTAGAGGATTCTGACGATCAAGTTTGTGACAATTCTTCACGATTCGCACCCCATCTCGTCGCCCTACCGAGGGCCAAAGCGTAGCTCTACGCTAATTGTGAAATATTATAGCAGCATGGTGCAGGAATCTACCCGATTCTCGTCTCCCGAATCCCCGCAGGTGAACAGGTCAGATGTTCGGATCTGGGATACGCAACTCGCGGTGGGATACCAGGAGCGACGATGGAATGAGCACAAACCCAATGTCATTGTTTCATAATGCACGATTAGCTAGCCGTCCAGACCGTTCCCGAAATCAACACGTTTTGTCACCCAGATCCCGTGCAGAATTTTCCATGATCCTAGCCTCGATCGATACGTCTTTGATCGTCATAAATCGAGCGTGATCTCTTTCCCCCGGGAGGATAATCACAGGGAGGACGGCAAGACAAGAATCTCCCGTGATGAGTCGTTTCCGCTTCGATGCCTCTAAACCTCCGCATGATATCTAGCTCCCTCTGCTTGGAAGCATGTCGCATCTGTAGGAGAAGCGTAAGGAGCGAGGCTGCTGGAAAGATGCACATCGTTCTGCATCGATTCGTCTATCTGGCGACACAATGATGACCTCTCATCGGCTCTTAGGATTATCGGGGGGCGCCTCCTCGAGACTGATCGGTGATCACTCATTTTCTCGGGAAATCCGATTTCCCCCCATTCCCCGCTCTAATCCTCCAACTCTCTTAGGGCAACTCAGTCATCGAGATCGAAACCTATCATCGGCTAGAGATAGGCGGGGTATAGGCCGCGATATCGGATATGCTTTCGGATTGCTGGAAACGGTGGGACAATAAAATGAGAGCCGCAGTCCCATGGGATGGATGGAGCATGCCTCTTGGGAACAATTCCCGAACAGATAAACTTTGATGGATTCCAGCAGCGTGTCCTCTGCCGCACAGTTTTCGCTGGCACTGGTACTCGCGGCCGCCACCGCCGAGCGACTGTAATGAGAGGCCTTGGGTCTCTTCAGTCTGGGGCATCGGCTGAGACGAATTATTGCAGTGCCCGTCAAATGGCGCAAGCGAGCTGGGTGCGTCTCGCTGGCCGAGACGCCGGTCAGTCGCCGAGGAAACTTGTGGCCTGAGCATAGAATAAGGAAGACTGATGACGAGCCTTGGCTGAACAAGAGAATCGCTCCGTTTCATTCGGGATACGGACGCCTTCCATCTGACGGGTACTCCGGGTTCCATATTCCGACGCTGTGGATGAGACGAACGGGTTGCGCCCTTGTAACTCCGCGCCGCGATCGCCAAAGCTGAATGTGTCGATCGACCCATGAACTGAAATGAAGAGAACGTTCCCTCCCGATCGAAAGAGAAAACGTTCGCCTGGTTGCGGTTGCGGTATACTCCCTCGGGCGGTTCCCTATTCCCCCGGACGAGGCCCCCGGGGTGGTTGATGATCGTCCACCTCTGATTTCCCGGGGCCTCTCCTTAAGCTGAATGACGGACGTGATTACCCATACCACTTTCCCCGTCGGCGTCGCGTCGCCCCGCTCACCGAGGGCCTCTTTCCCTCAGAATGAGATACCCGATGACGCTCCTTTAGCTCACAACGTTCCTTGATGAACATATGGTGCTTGAACGTGAGCTCCGGCGCGTGACTCTGAGGACCGCTTCGCGACGGCGTCGGCGGAATCGCCAGTAATGAAAGCGGGTCACAACACCGCCCGGTCGGCCACTGCGAAAACTATGAAGCATCGACCGGATGGATCGCACCCAGGCACCGCGCGAACCGTTCGGCGGGGGATGGAGGTTCGCAACTCGGCATGGGAAGCCCGCAGCCGGAATTCGATGATTCTCCTGGATATTTGAGGAAGGGGAGATCTCAGTATGGACATGTATTGACAACGTGTCCTGGGAATATATGCGCTTGAGAGTTTGAAATGGCTCTGCGCAGCTTCCTGATACGGCCGCGATCGCTTCCGGTTTCCAAGAGAATGAGGCAAGCCGTCGAGAGCTGCTGAGGCAGAACATTCCACCGCAGCCCAAGTTTGGCATTCGCTCCGAGGAAACAGCGGAATTTCAGGGACCCGACTTGTTCCAATCAGCGACCTCTGCCGCGTATTCATTTTCATTCGAAATCTAGTTCACAGAAACGACGGTCTATCTCGTTCCGCCGACTCAGATCGTTCGATCCCTCCCCGCGGCAAACGCTCAGGAAAGGAGGCGCGAGAAGGCGCGCATCTCTTGGTCCCAGCTCATGTGGAAAAACACATCGGTGAAATTCGCCCTGGAATGTTAACCTGCCCGAAATGTCTTCACATTCTGCCAGGAGCGCGCATACATTGGCATTCGCATTGCGGAGCAGGACGCTCGAGGCCACGGTAAGTGACATTGCGGTGGAGAAAGGCTCGATCCGTGGCGGTGTTGATGGCACCACGTACAGGGAATTCCTGCCGTCGTGTCGCATTCACGTTCTGAGCATGTGTCATCGACGCTAGAACGACCTACACGAATTGCACTTCTGTTCTCGAGGCGTCCGCTGGGATCGAGATTCAGAGCAGGACACCGTGTAATCGAACGCTTTCAAAAAAAATACCTACACTCGGAATCATCCGACGCCGAGGGCCCTGACTGCTGCCGCGGACTCCCTGATTAGGGATGATGGCCTAATTCCCCTGTGTGCGATCCGAATGCGCCCAGAGGATAAATAGCGTTCCCTCACGACGAGGGTAGTCCCCTTTTATATTACTCCATGAATGGGCGAACACGGTACGCTCGGATGACGTCGGATGGGCAATTACGTCCGACGATAACTCAATTGCACTCATTCGTAGCGTTTCAAATTAAACAGACGGAACTCTCGAAGTTCCTTCTCAGAACCATTCTTCTAACGGCATCGAACCAATCCGCGATGAGCTCGTCCGTCGAGATGACCCGACGCACAGTAAACTCTCCCGACCTCGTAACCCGCCTACTCCATGCCTTGGGGAAACGGTGTCGTTCGTCGGCAAGAGCCTCACATCCGACGATCCTGCGGATCGTCTATGAGCGCTCGTTCCGGAGAGAGTCCCGGACGAATAATTATGCGGAAGGGGCACGCCGAAGTCTTCAGCGCCCGTTCCGTATCGAGCATCCGGGTACGCTGAAATTCATTGGCGGAATCCGTCATGTGCAGCAGAACAAGGACGCTGACTCGGAGCGTCACATTGCTGCCGGGAAGAAAAACAAGTACGCTTAGAATGACCGCAGAATTCCCAGTGTCCTCGAAAACGTGCGGGCGCCGATGCCTAAAGCGAGACCTCGAGGGGCATCGCTCATGCCGATGAGATGAATCTTCGAAGAAGAGATCCCTCCAGGTTGTCGATCTGTACACACTTCATAGCTGATTCATCGAGTCCAGTCTCTTATCCTGCGAAGATTGTGTGAGAGGACGCTCTGCATTTCATGAAAACCGAGTGACACCTCTCCGTCGGTCGTGAGAAGATACAAGGCGTACCGAGTCACCTTGAGAGATTCTTCGGCCAATCTGCGGTTTTACCGAAACGGAGTCTCCGCGGTGGCCGAGTTGACGCGGTCTGCGGGCCTCAGGTGGCAATATCCCCGGATGGATGAATGCAGGAAGAGCCGGACAGATGGGTCCTCAAGCATCGTAGGAATCGGGGCCGGCAAGGGAATTTCTAAGCGTGCTCAATGCAGAACAATATCGCAGTGTGAGCAAATAGCATCGCAGCTGAATCGACAAAGGCTATCGATAGCGATACAGCCGAGAACAGACAAATAGAAAGATGACATCCGGAGGAACGGCTCGGAAGGGAGACTTTGTTTTGCCTTCTCCTCTGAACTGTGCGTGTTTCTGGTTATTATTTTTGATACTCCGAAAGCATTCTCGGCTCCGAGAAACTCAAAGCTCCTCCCTCGGATGGATTTTACAAAACATACACATGTCTCTCCTGACTTGAACGAAGTTTTTTTCCCCGGCCGATGTCGACAGTTCATGTCTAATGCCGTATTGGAACTAAAATAGGACAGGCTTGCGTCGAGCGGCGGAACGAATGGGAAAACACGAGCAGCCTCTCCCTTACCGAGCCAGATACAATGCCAGCGACTGTTGGTCGTGTGTCAGACCGTCGGACAGGTCATGGATCGGAACTCATACCTAACCTGACGTTGATCGCAGCGCCAGGCTATCGCTGAACGCATCGTGAAGGACGAGAGACGTATCGCACGGGTTAAGTAGTATACTTGGAGATTTCTCGCGAATCTCCATGGGCAAGGACCATGGGGAAGAGCTCGACTGTTCGAAAGTCCTAATGTCAACGAGCACGTCATCGGTTGGCTCTCGACAGTCGCTCTGTGGAGTTTGCGGTCGCGTCACCATCGTCGCTCACTCTAGTGTTGTGACAGTGACGATCGTGTTGGACGATGAAGAAACCATATGATTTCAAAGTGTTGGGTGACTGTAAGTTCCCGCTGCAACTGAGCAGCGAATGCGTCGATGAGGCTTTGAATTTCACCCCTCGCGATGGCGATATTGGCGTAGTCACGTATCCTCGGAGTGGAACCACGTGGACTCAACAGATCGTTCTCCGGCTGCTCAGATTCGGTGAGTTGTGATCCCGTAGCGCCGACGGTCCCGTTGGAGGCAAGCTCGAGTTCTCGCCAGATTGGCAAATATTCTCCCGTGCTAGCCGACACTCGAGAGAGCAAATGGGCGGGATCACAGATCGAACGTAATTCTGATAGCTCGGAGGACTTCGGGCGATAAACAGATTTCTTCGGAGCCGGAAACTTGAAACCATTAGTTTTGAAACAGAAGTTTTCTCTTTTGTTCTCCTTGAGGAAGCTCTTCGAGCCATTCCCTATTTCCGCTCTAGAGCATTTCTAGAACTGGAACTCGGTCAGACTCGGACCGAGATGGTTCCGAATTCAGATCAAAGGAATCTGGAGGCTCGATTCCGTAGTGGAATCGAGAGTCGAATCGGAGAGGAATACCGCCACGGAGGGATATTCCTCGCGGCCTTATTGGAGTTACGATCGTAGCGTGACCGCGGGACGGAGTTTTAAAGTTTTTTCCTTGTACATGGAGCGTCTCCGGGCGCAACCCAAGTCCCGCCAGGGGACTCCGCGATTATTTGCGTCGTGGTTGAAAGTTTGGCTCGTGTCCAATAAACTGCAGCTTTGTCTATTACGGAAACATCGGATAAAATCCTCGATCGGATCTCAAGACCGTACCCGGAACCCAGGACTGCTTCTCCTCGCTCGCACTAAATTCGGGCTGTTTGAGCGGACCCTCTCTCACCATCATTTGTTATTTCGGGCGTTCAAGAATCGGCGGGTCATGCCCGATAATATATGTAGGTTTCATTCAAAGTCCGTGGTCGAGATATAGACATTAGGAGAGCTTAGACGTTTGCTGACACGAAGTAAATTCGCCGCTCTTTGAACCTGAATAGGTCCTGCGGTCTGTTTGAGGATATGCTATGACTCCCGGAATGCGTTAGTCTTACTTCCTCACAGAATTACGTAAAGCCATCGCTGCGCTGCGTCGTTACGCTCCGAGCTCTCACAGACTCGTCATGCGAAGCAGAGAACGCGATTTCGTCATCGAACCCATTTGAAATTTTCGGAGCTCGCCTTACGCTGGCAGCATAATCCGCCGACGATCGCACGGAGAGAGTTGGGCTCAAAGCTCCTGTCTCCACGTATCCGACGTATTCTTCTGTTGTCATAAATCGAAAATCCATCCGGAAAGCCGCGGATCTGCAGGCGACGGTCGAGCATAAAAAAAGAATGCATGCTGCGCTCCGCGTCGCCTCCCCGCAATCGATGCGTGCGATCGTTCCAAGATATTGTTCACGTTCGCTGATAGGGACTCCACTTTCAGCGAGACCATTCAGCTCCAGAAGGGGGGCCGATCGTGCCCCGAATAACAGTCCCGCGCACCGTCCCGTAATTTTTTCTGCTCTCGCAATAATTCATTCTGCAAATTTTTCAGACGAAAACCTCGAGTCGTGGAGTCAGCTCTACTCGAAGAGCCCTTGTTTGGAGCTACAGGGCACGAAAGGGATTCTCGCATCCGCGGTCCCTGTATTCTATAAAACCCACATACCTTTTCATCGCTCACGCTTCAACCCCCGATCGAAATACATTTGGGTGATCCGCAACCCAAGGGACGTGTGTGTCTCCAGCTATCACCTGTACTCGGATCTTCATCCGGCTTTCTGGAGCAAGAAATATCCCCTGAAAGAGTTCGTGAAGCATTTCTGCGAAGGCGAGGTGTACTACGGAGATTACTGGGACCACTTGCGGACTTGGAAGCAGATCGAAGATGAGCCCAACGTGCTCACTCTGGTCTATGAGCAAATGAAGAGAGAGCCGCGTTCATCCATAATACGGATAGGGGAGTTCCTGGGAGGTCGATGCTCAGAGTTGGTCAAGGACGACCAGGTAGGAATGGATCCCTCTAGGTGTAGCTCTCTGCCAGCATGAATCCAACGGTTGGCAATCGGAGCTCTCGGTACTCAGTTCGCTTCGGGGAACGATGTCGCGCATGTCTAGCGACCGGTGGATACCGCAATATCTCGCGACGGGATCAATCTGATTACTCCCATAGCGCATTGATGCATTCGCTTGCTGTCGAGCAATTTTCGTTTCCGTTATCGCGCCCAAGAGGCTAGCATATGAGTCAATCACATGAACGACGACTCGGGTCACCTACTATATCCTGGACGGCGTTATTGACCTCGATAAGCCTAAGGGTATTAGGGCGGGCCTGCATTTGTGTATTTTCAACTCTTTCCGAAAACCGAACAGAATGATAGACGAGCAGAACGCGGTCCGAGGACAACACTGATCCAATCGATGAAGGCGCATGGCTCATTCATGCATACTGTCCAATTCCAGGTAGTCGAGCAGCTGCTGGCCGCAACGTCCGTCAAAGCTACGAGAAAACAGGCCAATGTCGGTTTTCTTCGAAATCTCACCCGTTTCGACAAACTCGAAATCTCTATGGCCCAAGGATTTTTCCTGAAGGTTTGGAGGGTCATCGGTAACGATGTCAGCTTTGTTCGCAAGGGTGTTGTCGACGACTGGAAAAATCATTTCGATCCGGAGGTATCCTGCCCGATTGCTACATCGAATGCGTCATCAAATGCGATAAGACCTCATGACGATGGACCGATACTCTAGTTTATCAATTGATCATGTCAGGAATCCGATAGAAGTTACTTTCTGTGTTCCAGGTGGAAGGTGTCTTCAACGCATGGATCCAGAAGCAGCCAGATCACAGAGATATAATGAAGCTCTTCGATCAGAGCTAGCAGAGCACAATAAAAATGACCCGCACACTCGTTCATCAGCAATAAATGAGATGTTTTGATATTATCGATGTCCTGCGACGCTTGTCTGAATCTTACAATCGGGCAAACTGAATCTGCTCCTAGGTCGGACGAGCTCCGGAAGATGTCTGTCATTCAACAGGTTAGGGTCGCGAATCGGGACTCCCGATTCTGCCATCGAGGCTCCCGATTCTGCCATCGAGGCTCCCGGTAGATGCTCTCAATGAATGATAGCTGAATAGAGGCGTGAAATCTATATGAAGCGTCCGCGATGAAGAGAGAAGCATCGGGAAGGAGACCTCGTACGACTGATGAGTTCGTAGCGTGGTCGCTGGCAGCATCCTGATTCGCCCATTGGCCTTTCGTCCTCGATTTGATAAATTTGAACTTGTCCTCGGGCTTTCGATTACGATCGCAGGGAACACGCAACAGGCTGCGGTCGTGGGGCTCCACAAAATTATTTGTGGGGAGGGTCGCGGCGAAGAGCCGCGAATGCCGGAAATATGTACTGGATCCTCCCCTAGAAATCACAATCAAAGAGGAGGTCCTCCGCAACCGAGAAATCGTCCCTCTCTTGCAAACGATAGTGAAACGGATCTCATGCTCAAAGAGAGTCTGTGAGCCAGGGGCGTCAGAATTTCCGGTACACGGTTGGCTAAGTTGAGGTCAGATCGAGCGCGCGGATCTGAGCGCGGTGCGTCGATCCAGCCCCTGGAACCTGGACCACCTCACACAGTGGTCCTTGCCAGGGTCATTGATTTCCCAATTTTTCCGAGGCTGTCTGGATTCTAATATCGGAGCCCCGAGCGTCATATATACGGTCCTGTTAGCTTTTCCATTGAGTTTCGGGTTTTCGCGCCGCGACTCCGTCCATTGAAAGATGAAAGAGAGCCGGCGACAGCGAGGACAGACGGGGTCGCATTTATTCACGACGGCACTCTGGTAGATTAATGCCGGGAAAAACTCGCATATTCCTTTCCTGCCCTTTCCCGGGAAAATACGATTTTTAAGCTGATCACGTCGGTTCCTTGCGTGCCAGGCATCGAGCAAATCGAGTGTGGTTGGAGCCCTCGAGGAGAGCAATTTTAAACTGACTGAGACAGTTCTGGTTGCATGGTCCCGCGAAATTCCAGTCCAGAACCTTCCCAAGGAAGCTGCAGTTTCGGGTTTCCACTCTCTCACGGGAAAGGAGAGGCATTCGCATGTACGGCCAGAGAACATTGACAGAGAATATTGAAGCCATTATTACGAAACTCGATACGCGGTGGAGAACTTCCTGCGAGGAATGAGCCGGATACAGCTGACGAAGTGTGACTGATGATACGCGTGAGCTCATCGAGAGCTCGCTCTCCGGGAGAGCTTATTCCGCTGCCGAAGCACACAAAACCGGAGCCTCGAACGTTCGCTTGACGCCGTGGCGAGACGCCGCGCCAGCCAATTGCGTAGACGAGACAAACACGTCGTTTTACAACCATTGTTACAACGTGATGCTCCTACCGCGGCGCTTGTCGTCGCCTCGAGCGATCGGCGAGGGAGTTCGTTGTATCCATCCCATCGATCCATCCATTCATCCTCGAGCGAGTGCCGCTACATTGTTTCCTTGCCTGGAATAACAATCTTCCTTCAGTCCTGCCTTCCTGCCTACTCGCTCGCTCGTCTCCGGAGACACTTGACATGTCGCTCATCGAGAATTTCATCGACGGGAAGTTTGTCCCAAGCGATGACTACTTGCCGAACATCGACCCGGCCACCGGTCAGGTAAAGCACTAACTCACTCGTCTCCCGGCGCTGCGTCGAATTTCGCCCATGAACATAGAATTCTGAGCCCAGGTCCCCCACGACATCGAACTTGGGGTTTTTAGCGCGTCGAGGGCTCATCTGGTCACAGAGTCTGAAACTCGGGTGCAGCTTACCGTCGAGCGGCTCTCCTGTCGTCTCAGTCTGGTGGTGGAGGTGGTGGTCTCATCTGCCAATCTACTCTGGTAGATATAATGATATTGACGTTATTAAACGGGATAAGTGGCTTAACGGCCGTGTCTGCAATCTCTCCTCGGTGTGAGCAACTAATACCCGAGTTGCAGATTACTCCATTGACGCAGTCTTAACTCATTAGGACACAGAAGAAAGCCGGTCTCTCCCGAGCGTCCCGCGAAACCGACGCTGGACTCTTTCTCACGAGACTAAGTCCCGATCTTCTCTTTTTGACGTCGCTCAGGTCTACGGTCGAATCGCCAACTCTACGAAAGAGGACACGCTGATGGCGATCGACGCGGCCAAGCGTGCGCAACCATTATGGCTCGCGAAGACAATGTCGGAGAGGGCATCGATCCTGAGACGCGTGGCTGATCTTCTCGAGCAGAAAATCGATGAATTCGCCAACGCCGAGTCCCGAGATCAAGGGAAACCTGTTTGGCTCGCTGAAAATGTCGACATTCCGAGAGCAGTTCACAACTTCCGTCATTTCGCCAATAATGCCGTCAACGATCGAGAATTGTTCGTTTCAAGTGAATCATTCCTCATTGCATTATATCGAGAGTTAGAATTTTCGTCGTCGCCTCGTCTAGCGAGGGAAGAATTAAGAGATCGAACAGCGATATGGAGAATCCGGGAGGTTCTCGCAAGCCTCTCGGAAATCCGCATCTCTCGTCGAGCGTTGACGCTTTTCCGTGCGTTGCTTCTCATGGGCCTCCGTTGCTTTCAGAGCCGTGCCGCAGCCGCGATCCCAGTTCCTGCATTACACAACCAGGTCCCCGGTGGGCGTAGTGGGTATCATCACGCCATGGAATCTCCCTCTTTATCTGCTCTCATTCAAGTTGGCTCCAGCCCTAGTGTATGGAAATGCGGTCGTGGCGAAACCCTCGGAGCTCACATCCATGACGGCCTACATGCTCGCAAAGCTCTTCGTTGAAGCGGGTACATCACGTCTAATAATAATTCTTGTCGATCTCAATTCGTGCGCACGAGTCTTCAGAGCTAATTTCTCGCTTATCGACGCATCGAGCACGGCCCGACCCCGCCCACATGACCCAGGACGGCCGCTCTTGACGAGCGAGTTCCAATCCGGTGTTCGGTGTGTCACGGTCTCGATCCGATGAACTTCTTCCGGAAGCGGCCCGTGTTCGAAGTTCTCTGTCGAGCATGAATAGTTCGCATGTTTTCCCCGCTGTTTCATGAGGCAAACAAAAGAGACGGAGACAAGTTGTAAAGAGTTCTACGCGGTCTATCCCCGGCCCCGTCGACAGAAACTCACGTGAACGGGCTTAGGGACGAGCAACACGCGGCGCTCGCTCCGCGGGTTTCAATTGTGTCGCGAGCAAGCATCAGATCATCGGGTAAAGCCGAGCCTCCGCCGAGCCCCCTATTACTCTGTATGCGCTGTTTGGTTAGCTTCGTCTCCGAATGATGGTAAACAACGAATGAAACCGAGCCCAGGTCGCGCAACCGAACGTATGAGCGAGCGAACGTACAAACAGAATGTACAAGCACACAGCGGAGAAGAGTTGTTGATTCATCCGTCTCGCTGGCTTCTCGCATCAAAGTTCCGAATCTCTCCGGAGAGATGGCGGTTGTCTGTGTGGAGATGCTTTCCTTGCACAAAGAGAACCGAGAGAGATTCGGGAAACTTCTGCTAGACAAATACGGTTCCCAAATCGCCCGTCTGCGAAATACTGGGAGAGAGATCGTATCATCAGTCGCTCACTTAGTCAGGCGGTGAAATAGAGAACAATTCTCGCTCTCGTGGGAACAGTTCCGCGCAGAAAGTTCAAGTATTAGTTATTATTTATCCGATGTCCGCTTCTCCCGACCGCCCGCGCTGGAATGGTGGAGCCAGCAGCGATTTCTGCGGAAAATTTCCCATCTCTCGTCGCCGCTCATCGATTTTCATATCGATTGAAAACGACTTTCGGAAGATTTCCGATCGAGCTCCGTCCACTCTCTTCAGAATTCGGCTCTCCATCCCTGGTGTCGAAGCTCATCGCGAACATGCGCTTCGCGCTTCCCCATCCGCGATCGCTCGCTCCCTTCGCACGAGCATGCGCACTGATTTGGAGCGGGAAGGACTTCTTCCGCTAATTGGATGCGAAACAAGACTCCTGATGCATTTCATTGGAACTGCAGCAGAACTCGCCTCTGAGCGGCTGCCTAGGAGGAACGACGCGCGGAGGGTCAATAAATTTCTACATAGAACGATATCTCGTGGCGAACCTTGTTCACGGGCTTCTGTCCCGGGCTTCCACGCCCTGTCCAGTCATTGATGGACACGAGAGTCCTTCACGCTCTCGGCGAGGACCCTACCTCAATTAGACGCGACGCGCGAACAGTAGCCCGGGGAAACTTTTCCTTGTCAGCGACAAAGTAGCAGAATCCTAATTCAATCTCGAGACCGATGATATCATCTGAACGACATCGACGTTGATTCGCCAGCTCAAACGCCCCAAAGGACCAGCGTCTTACGAGGGCTTGAGATGAAAGAAGAATTACAAGGGAAGGGTTGCAGGATTGCCGGACGGAGTGTGCAATTTCGTTTTCGGCAGAGGAGTCCCTGTCGGCGAAACACTTTGTACTCATCCAGACGTGAGAGCGATTTCCTTCACCGGCAGCACACTCGTCGGAACCAGAATCGCTCAAATTGCGGCTCCCATGGCGAAGAAGTGCTCCCTCGAGGTGAATTTCATCAAGTCATTCTAGCATTACATTTGTTTCGAAATCCTTCTTTCTCTCCGTGTGCCCGCACAACGATGGAGATTATCATAGTATGAGACCCGGGATCGATTTCCTTAGCCCGGGAACGTCTACTCAGGACTCTCGTAGACCCTGGGACCTCTGCATTGATATCGCGGGGCGGAATTCATTGGAAAATGGAAAAATGAATTTAGAAATTGCTTCCCAGATGGGCGGTAAGAACGCGGCCATCGTTTTCGCGGACGCCGATCAACGGAAGTGCGTAAGAACCCTGCTACGAGCATGCTTCCTCAACCAAGGTGAAATTTGTCTCTGCACCAGTCGTATCTTCGTCCATGAATCGATTTACGAGACATTTGTCGCCGATTTCGTTCAGCAAACCCGGTGAGTATCATTCGGAGAGAAAATCCAAGGACTTTCATCCGGAGCGTCCGAAACCCGATCGACGGGGACTGACGCCTCTTCAAGAGTTTAATTGCTTGTTTGCTGCAGAGAGGTTTTAATGGCTCCGGCTGGCAGTATAATGAAGTTTCTATGTCTAAAAGGACACGGGGGAGTAGTTCCCGATGCCCCGCCACCGAGACCCGAGTAGCAATAGATATTGTTGCGAACGCTTTCCAGGACATTGAAAGTGGGACCGCCCTCCGAGAGGGACTCGTTCCTCGGAGCATTGGTCTCTCGTGAGCATCTGGAAAAAGTTCGCGGCTACGTCGATCTGGCGGTCGAGGAAGGCGGGCGAATGCTCGTCGGAGGAGCCGAGGCCGTCGAAGGTCTCGGTGACGAGCACAAGACCGTGAGTAACAAAATTGTACTCTTTAAGCGGAACGGTGAATCGCCACTCTTGGAAAGTGTCATGATAGAGTCTTAAGTCTGATATATTGTTCGCCCGACGGGGAGCGAAACAGACCTCGGCGAAGCCGTGCATAGCATGGGATGTTCAAGCAGATCCTGCTAAAATATAGCTTTATCTTCGCGCAACACGAACCAGATGGAGGGCACTGGCCACATCTCTGCGCAATTTATGAGCGGACACCATGACAGAGAAGAGAATCGAATTCTCAATTCCTCAGAGTCCAGGGTCACATCGCAAAGCCGATGGATTCCGAGTGGCCTATAGTGGGGAAGGTTGCTGAATAGACGGTCGCTCTGTCGCTTTGTTCACAGTCGGGGGGAGACGAACGCGTTGGGCCCTCGTCACGCTACGCTTTGACTCCCGCTGGTGTACGGAACAGCTCCCTATTCGTTCTCATTTGTCTTCTTCCGAAACTGGTGTGTATCAAACGGACTCCGTGTCGACAAGGTTCACCGCCCGCATTCATATACGCGGATGCATGCGTGTTCGCAAGCGTGAATGCACACATCGTGGGACAACTTGACGCTCCGAAAAAAAAAGATGGGGAAACGCAGGTGTGACGTGTGTCATGGCAATTTTTTGACGCGGCAGCGAGACGTGTCGTTTGGATTCGAATATTCGATGCGGGCTTGTTCCTCACCGGCTGATGAATTTTCAATGCCGAACCCCGACGTCAATGAATTCCTCCACCAGCCGGGATTTTTTTCCAAATCGATTTTTTTCTGATTTCAGGGATTTTTCATGAATCCCACCATATTCGATGGCTTGGCGGCGGATTCACGCTGTATGCAGGAGGAGATTTTCGGTCCGCTCGTATGCGTCGCACCGTTCCGTGACGAGGCTGAAGTGATCGAGAAAACTAATTCCGTGGAATTCGGTCTCTGCGCCAGCGTGTGGACAACCGATGTGCGCCGAGTACACCGCATTGCCGGAAAACTTGATGTGAGTATCAAAATATGGACACGACCTTTCGGTCGGCTCCTATCGCACTCAAGAAATGAGAAGGAAACGACACGACCCTGCAGGAACGACATTGCAGATTTGAATCGGAAAATTTCGCCATCCCGAGGCTTGGTAACTACTTTGCAGGTCGGGACCGTGTGGTTCAATTGCTGGCTGGTTCGCCACTTGCACATGCCTTTCGGTGGCACCAAAATGTCGGGGCTTGGCCGTGAAGGAACGGACGCGTCTCGTGACTTCTACACCGAGTGTAAGACAGTATGTGTCGATTTCAACGAAATCTAGAGCGGATCGCCGAAGGCTTGCGTTGCCAAAAAGAACCGTTCTGACCGGGCGAGCGAGCGAGCGAGCAAGCAAGCGGGAGGATCCGTGAGATGCCAACGACAGGACGGACAGGAGAGGATAGACAAAAATGTCACAAGGATCAAGGTCGCATAGCTCACATAGCTGCATTGAAGCCTTTCGTCGCTTTCCATATAAATAGCCATGCGAATAGACTGAGGTGAGGAAGCGGGACCGGGGAAGAGCTCTATTTGTATGCAAATAATTTCAGCTAGCGCAAATGTCGTCCTTCTGCTAGCCGCCCTCATTTCCCTCAGTTCTTCTAATAAATGGTAATTATCACCTCACCTTGGATGCAAACCGCGCCACGGCCCGGATTCGCCGAGAATACATACCAGCGCCCGTTCGTACACAAAACCTTCGGAAAGTAATCGTACGCCTTGCTCGAGTCGAGAGTATTCGGTCCCTTCCATCAGAGATCTCTTTTACTTATTGCTCCAGGGAGACCTATTTTTATTTATCTCTTCTCTCTGCATCGGATCGAGTGTGTGCAGGGGACTGATACGTTCACGGAAGCCTCATTTCTCTTCTCTTTTGTTAAACTTGGATAAGCGGCTCCTGTGGCATTATCAGACGCGTGCATTGACTCGTTTCACACCGAGCGCTGTGCATAAACGGTCGCATTCCGTCAGCGCCGCCTCAAAGTCAACAACCACAAACTCTTCGGTGCATGGAAACGCCCCGAGCGGTGTTTTGAATCTCGTTTCCCATAAGCATGGATCGTTGCGAAGGGGCGGGCCGCGCACACGATGATGGTGGAGCTCATCTTACATTTGTTCGATTTCGAATCGCAAGAGTCGTCTAACATGCAGGACGTCGCGGCGTCCGATCCCAGCAGCGGGCTTGTCGACGACCATTCGATGGCCGTTCCGCGCCTCGTTAGCTTCCTGTTTCTTAGCGGAGAAGTTTTTTTCTTCTCCAGCGTCCCTGAGCTCTTCGGGTGTCTTTTTGCTCTTCTTTGAAAATCTCAATTAGAAATCCGATCGGCGCTATATAATCATGAAATTCGAAACTAGTCCGCAGTCTCGCTGAGTTCAAACGAACTGTCCCACTCAGTTATCGGCTCACACACATGTTCGAACAAGCTCCCCATACAATAGGGGCTGATCCTCTCCGTTGCGGTCAATCATGGAGATAATGATTCAACGCGGGCCGAAATCTCTCTTTCCGAAGCATCGGATTTTCGGAAGCGATCGCGCTTATCATCATGAACACCCGGAGTGATGAAGCGCTGTATCCCATGTTGTCCCGCGCTGAACTAGCGCCTGATATTCCGTCCTATCCTCCGGAACCAGGAATTGGTGCAGCTGAAGCCTTCGACGGCTCGACGGGGGCGATTTTCCTCGGTAACTGCTCACGCATTCTGGTTTCTCTCGTGAGTGTAAGCCAGATATGTAGAGAATTCATGATCGAGTCCGCAGTGGCAATCACTGCGAGAATTAAGACTGTATTTCCTAGGACGCCACGGGTGAGGGTTCACGGAATGAGGTCGTCCGTATTAGATATGCAACGAACCCAGCACAGGAACAAAATGCAATCCCGCCGGCCGGAGCATCAGTCCTGAATAATTAGCCGCGAGTCGCGAAAACTGCATTCGGTCTCTACTACTTCCTGCTATTCTCGTCCTGGAATGACCGCACCAGACGCGGTGGATGGAGCATTCATTTGCTGCAAGTAGAGCTTGTCGATGATGTTCTTAAATAATTCCATGGGTGGCCACTAGGACTCCCTCTCGCCGCTGGTACCATCGCATCTGATGCAAGAAAGCAACAACTGGCGGCTTTCCTCAGCTCGTTCAATTCACCCGCTTTCCGCTCCTCTGAGTCTCAGTCGGTGCGAGAGCGGAACTCTGATCCACAGCGACACCGTCTCACAAAAACAAGAAGTGGGAAGAAGGATCGCCGAGCGGGGTTCCATTGGCGAGGGTGGTGAAATTCTGAACATCGCGACTTCGTTCGTCCTTTCTGATTCTCCGAGATGGAACCGTCGTCTTTGTCGGAATGATCGTCTGTGCTTGAGTCACCACGCTCCCTCCGCGCGGAAAGTCCTTTCGGAGGCGAGCTGAAAGGACGGAAATGCCAAGAGAGACGTTGGAGCGATAGCGGAGGAAAAGACCTCATTTTCGCCTGCTGACAGGATACGGGAAGACGCACGAAGTCGGAACCGTAGTTCCTGGTCTTCAGACAAACATCAAAAGCCGTGTAGGTATTTTTTCTCGTCGAAAATCCCGGATGGATTCAAGCTTTGAGCGTGAAGGTCAACGGGAACAGAATCAAATAGGTAGAATCATGTGGAATCCAGCTTAGCATTTAGAGTTCTTCGAGGGGAAATCCGACCCACGGAATCGAATAAAAATCGGCCGCGGCGTGGATTTGCTCTCGTCGCTAGGGAATGTCATGGAATGAACGAGGAATAACAAACCGACAGACTGCCGCGTGACTCCATTGCTCTCGTTCGCTGATAGCTCCTACTCTCGATGAACTATCTCGATCGTTTATGATTGGGAATTAGAGTCGAGTTCATGAATAATTTCCGACGCGAAGCGTTCCGCGCCCAATGCTCGAGAGCGACCCGCGCGATTGCGAGAGCCGAATTGAATGCTTGCAGACGCTTCGACAGTAATGTTCGGCCGACGTTTCCCGAGCTGCATAATCATCCGTGTTCGTCAGGGACTTTTTGAGGACACTCCCGAATCATCATTTGGCGGCTCATCCATTCCATGCCGGAAAACGACACGGCCTCGGAATCTCCTAGGGGCGAAGATGAGGGATACGGGGAAACCGACGTTCGATCGATCTTGCCGAAGTAGCACCTGGATCTCATTTCTTTCTCAGTTGAATTCCTCGTTGAGCATACGCTCCAAGTTCGAGAGCCGGCCGGAACGTTTGGGCGCGCGTGACATCCAATGGAGCCGATTGATGTTGGATCTTTCGCGATGTGTCGCGGAAAGGTCCGTTCTCGCGTTCAGCATGATACATACAACAGGGAGACGCACCCCATCCGACCCCGTGTGGATTAGCTTTGCCTGGGGCGGTTACAATATGTTAGGTACCCGTGAATCAGATGCTGCAGTGTCCAGCTTGGTTTGATACGACTTCGGCGACATTATTGGCGACCATCCCTCTCGTGGTTTGAGCCGGGAAGAGATGCGCTCTGTGACCTACCGACCTTGGAGGATGAATCGGGACTTCCGGGCTCTATCTTCCACAAAATTCAGAGTTTCGGCAAGGAAGCTCCGAAACGATTGAGATTCCGAGGAGCCCCTCCCTCATTGCAGACACAGAGTATGTAGGATCTCCGTCGGTGTCTCAACAACGCCTTCGACGCATCGCTCGGCGTTCACCGAGACCATATCTTCTGATTCACCCAGGTCTATTCGAAGATATCACTTCGAGAGCTTCCCGGAGGTGCCACGCAAGCGTCTGCTGAAATCGAACGTCAAAGCTCACCTTGGTGTCGATTAAACGTCAGTCAAGCGTCAAGCGACGGCTAGTGGAGGCGGATGCAACGCAAATATTCCGACAGCACTTGAACGGAGTCTGGGCTCCTTCGGTTCTTCCAACGGCTCGCCTGATGGCAAACAGACACACCATCCCTCAACCCCACTGGAAAGCTATTTGCTGTCTATCACCGACGATATTAGAATACCTTGTGCCGTAGCAGTTTGAACCGTTTCGTCTTGAGATCAAAGAATCCATTCCGCTGGGGTCCGACGGGCGAGTCGTCCCTCGTCTGATCTGGACATCACTTGCACCAACCGGGTGGTCCCGAAACCTCGAGCTCAGCGTCGCATTCTGAGCGTCGAGCTTCATTCGCTTCCTACGTGGATGCTTCCGGTAGTCAGGCTGACTCCTGGCGCCCCAAATGTTCTCCGCTACAGCCCGAGCAGAGCGCTCTCGATGTTCTGGGCGGCGACTGTGGGCTTCCAAAGATCTCCAATCAAGGATCGATCCTAGCCGGTGGAGAAATATTCAGGCTGAATGTCGAATCGCTCGGTACATTTACGCTTATGATCCGTCAGCGAGACGGATGCCCCTCGAGTGACAGCTGACCATGGGCTGTTCCCTCCAGCCAAGAGGAGGGGTGTTATGTTCACGGATCTCCGAACTATGACCACGGCCCGTGGGATCGAGCTCTTTCTCCGAATACATCAGGGACGTATATATCGGGAAATGTGCTGTCGGCAATGGAAGCTCGCCCACTGGTACGACCTGGGGATCTCGACTATCTGTGGCCCTCCTTCGGGATGACTCCCCATAGTTCTGCAATCGATTCGACTTTGACATCATCGCGAGGGCTCTGCTTTTTCCTCCTTTGTTCCGCCATCATCCCCTTCGCGACACCTGATCTCCGAAAGAGAGACGAGCGAGCAAGAAATCCCTCGTCTGAGTATCCCGTGGCGTGGCCCGTGTGTAGATCGAATCAGCAGAAAGCAAATAAGACAGAGCTAATGACCGTTTATCGGAGCGGCTCCCATGGAGACTTCTCATTATTCTGTCTGATGAACGCGGAACGAAGGCTCCCCTCGGAGTCTCTACACGCCGCGTTTTCTGTACCGACACGCGGAAAAACGAGCTCGACTCGTCAATCTCCGCTGATAAAAGAACGGCATAGAAGAACGGAGCGAGTCACGCACGAACGACTCGAGGAGGTGTCGACAGCATTCGTAAGTCAAACCCGCTAGGAGTTCTGAAAGCGGAACGTTCGGAGATACGAGGTGTGCTCCGAAACTTCACGCCCCATACTGGCTCTGAGTGGGTCGGAGTAAGACTGTTGACGCGACAGTCGTCGAACGTCAAGAACCACTCCATCCCGCTCGAGGTGCCTGTGAAAGAACTTTCTGATGTGGCGTGCTCCTCCGTCGCCGTCCGTCCGTCCCGCGGAAAAGATCGAGCGATTTCAACAGTATTCGGGGGATGACGAGTGTTGAATAGGGAATATCAGATCGAGGACTACGTCTTTGACGTTTTCAGACGGATGATCCTGCTCGGGGCGACCGTTCCCCGTAACGGGATCAGGGGGAAGGAAGTAGGACAGGGAAGAGAAGCCCCTGCCACCTGGAGACTGCTTCTCAATTAGACCTTGGGGCAGCTTCCTTAGATCGAGTGTTTTTCCTCTAGTGTCGTGTCGACATCGTCCAATTGCCCTGACTTCGTTCAATGAAGCTAATGACATTAGCGTGACGTCATAAGTGAAGCTTGCTGCTCCGAATCTGATTCGCGGGAAATTGCTCGGAACTATACGGAACGTCCGAAGCTCCGACTCGATCAGGGGCGAACACGCCGCCCG